CTTATTTTCTGGCAGACTCAGCTTGTTCTGGGTCTTATTCTCTCTGAAACCATTTTTACCAAATCATTTCTCCCTTTGTCCTCCATTTCGGCTGTAAGCGCCACTCTCACGTCTCTTACGAGCCATTTAAAAATATTATTTCTTGCAAAAACTCCCCATACAGCCCCATCCACACCTTAGCTGCTTGGAGTTTCTCTTTTCCAGGTATCATTATTTGTAATTGTATTATCATTATTTTATTTCTAAGAGCTTCCAGTTCTCTAGAGCCATCTTCCATGAGGCAATGAGATCATATCTCTATTTTAAGTACCACATTTAAAAACGTGCCTTCTGAAGCCTTCACGTCCATATCTGTCATGATCAAGTATCTTTCTTATTTTCACCTTGGCTACTTCACTTTCTAAGTATCACATCTACTTTTTCCCAGAGATATTGTCCATTCCACATCAACAATACTCCTTGTTGGTTAAAAATAGACTCAAATAAATATACCCCTGATTTCTTGTGTCTGAGATAGTTATCAATAACTATCAATAGGACAAATTAAGAAACTTATCAAGCCACGAAATACTGCTGAGAACTATATCCACTTGTCTTGATTCTCCAAAGGATCTGCTGTATCCATAAAAATACACAAAGTTATACATACAATTTTTATCATATATTTAGTATTAAAATGCCCATGGAGCTTAAAGATGACCAATGATCCAAATGTGTAAGGATATTTACCTATAAATATTTGGCATCAGTCATCTAACAGAAGTCAGCACCATAGCAGCACATTTAGAAAACAGCATAGATCTGAATTTACCTTTTATTCCCCAACATTTCACACGGACACAGATCATCTGACATTTACATACTTATTTACCTTCACATCCTAATGCCTTCACAAAGCCAGATTCAACAAACCCAACTTCTTATCCCCATTAAAAACTAGTGATAAAATGTCTGATTTTCTAACTAATCATTTAACTTGTTTTTTTAAAATATCTACTCCACAATACCTCAATAGTCATTTAAACAGTTGTCACTTAATTTTTTGTCTCTATATTTTCCTCCCAAATCATTGATTCTTTGAAGGATTATTAATGTCTCACATTTAAAGGGCTTTAGAATATAGCATTGCAAACATACAAAGAGTGACAATGATTTATTATGTCAACTGAAACTTGCTATGAGATTCATGGAGAAATTTAAAAACAGAAAATGGCTAAGATTTTAAATATGAAACCAATCTATAATCCTTTTTTCAAGTCATTTCAATATTTTATGACAACTGCAGGTGCTGAAGGGCAGTTTTAGTGGGACATTTTATTGACATCAAAGTTATTTTTCATCATGGGAGTACCCATATTTTTCCTTCCTTCTGTTCAGATATTTATTTATTTATTTGAACAAGGGAGAGTAAGAGAGTAAGACAGCAAGCATGGGAGGGACAGAGCCAGCAGTCACTTCTCTGTTGGCTTACTGCCCAAATGCCTGCAATAAGCAGCACTGTACCAAAGCCAGGGTTAGGTATTTAATTCCTTGTTGTATAGGCAGAAGAATATCTCAGGATATAATTTTCTGATAGGATTGGAGAGTTCCAACAATGATTTGTGTTGGTCAGTAAACTACTATATTCAAGTTAACATCTATTATTCATTTCCTTTGTTATATTATAGCAGGCAAATGGAGTGGCTTAAGACAATGAATGTCTGATATTCTAAATATCAAAAATCTGAAATTGGTTTTATTGAGCTAAAAGTAAGCTTTTGGTGTTTTTTTAACCCCACCTGCAGATTATAGGAAACAATCCCCCTTTTATTGCTCTTGCCAGCTCCTAGAAGCCCCAAGAGTTCATTGGCTCATGTCCTGCCTTGTACTGAGATTTGTATGCATCTTCTAACTTCGTTTTGTCCAATTATCCTGCCTCTGTCTTTTCCTCTTAAAGGCCCTGTGCACAGTGAGTCCATGTGCATAATTTCAGGTACTCTGCCCTAACAACAACAAAAGTCACAATTTTTTAAAAAGCTAGCACTGGAGCCTGGCACAATGGCTCAGTGGCTAAATCCTTGCATGCACCAGGATTTCATAAGGGCCCTGGTTTGTGGCTTGACTGCTCCACTTTCCATCCAGCTCTTTGCTTGTGGCCTGGGAAAGCAGTTGAGGATGGGCCAAAGACTTGGTACCCTACATCCTGTGGGAGATCCAGAAGAAGCTCCAGGCTCCTGGTTTCAGATTGACTCAGCTCCAGCTATTGTAGCTACTTGGGGAGTGAACCAGCAGATGAAAGATCTTTCTGTTTCTCCTTCTCTCTGCAAATGACTTTCCAGCAAAAATAAATAAATGTTTTCTTTAAAGCTAGCACTGAAAATAAGCTACTTCAAAGATAAAATAATTCTCATTTTTAGGTAAAAATGACCACCATTATTTTTTATTATATTCAAGAGTGGCATATTTTGATTTTCTTCATTATTCATTGTTATTCTTGTGTGGGGTCTGAATTTCAAACACAGCCTATGCTAACAGTCACTGTTCCATCATATGAACCTTGTATCAAGTGGGACGTGCTATCACAGAGGCGGTAACCACCACAGGGGCTGCCTCAGAGATGCTCCCTGGTTTTGTGTGATACATTTAAACACCCGAAAGAACAGTGCTGGTGGGTGAAAACCTGATGCAAAAACACATAGCTACTCAGGTATGTTTAACCCACTGACACTCAGCTGCTTGGCGTGGCTGCTTACCCAAGGTTCCCTCTCCTTGCCCACCTGCCTCACAATGTTGGAGAACAGTTTGTAAACCCTACAGGTTGAGTGTTACTTTAAGGCGAAATCCAGCTTAGAGCAGTAATTGAATCTTCAAAGTGAGTCTGCACCTCATCATCATCACCTTTAGAAGCTTACCGAGAGGATTCAGCCATTGTCTATCACGTTAAGACATTTCATTACCCCTTCATTTATCCCACTACCATCTATATTTTATTTTCTACCTTTCATAAGTGTAAAGCAAACTATCAAACAGCTCTCATTTCCTCAAACCGCTGACAACACAAATCATGCCAGATTTAAATATTGACAGAGTTAAAGAAAATGTTTCCCAAATCTCAAACTCTAATGCATTTAAAAATCGGTCTGGATCAAGCACACTGCACTGAAATGGAAAGGCGGGGGGATCACTATTAAAAGATAGAGACCACCAAGAAAAATAAACAAAAACCATAACGTCACAAAGAATTCCAACATCAGGCTAGCTCCCAGTCTCCTCCTCCTCAATACATTTCAGAAAGAAGCTGTTTATATATTTTTTCTTATCAAAATTTTAAGATGATTTAATAGATGCTGATTAGCATCTACCTACTATTTGCGACACCTTACTACTTTCCCAATCCCACTCCCAAGATTTAGTTTACTTGAACATCCTCCTAGTGCCTGCTGTAACTCTTGGAAAGATCCAGTTTGTCAACACTGCCCAAGAACTGTCCATTCCCATTTGCTCATCCACACTCTATCACCACTTCCCCTCTGCTTCAGCAACAGTGTAATTCTTGGAACTCAAGTACCAAGCCTCATTCTGTCTTAGCCTTTCATTTATAAGAATGTAACTGCTGTTTTCCCTTGCGTAGAATGTAATTATTCCCTATTGTTCTCTTTAAAATAATAAAAAAAAACTGATTGATTATTTGGTTAAAATTGCAACTTTTCTTTCTTAAATACTAAACAGAGAACTCACACTTGTTTTTGACTTTAAAGGAATGTGTCACTGTTTTAGAGAGGTATGTGTAGAAGTCACACCAAATTCCTTTTAGGATTTATAAAAAATAAAATTGCACCTGTAACAATAATTAGGGTAATTTCATTTTGGGGGGGAGATGAGAGCAATACTCCCAATGACCTTTCCATTAGAAACATATCTCAAACCGCATTCAGAACAGCACACAAATGTTGTGTCGTTATACGGTCCCAATCACGTGCAATGTTTTTTAACACTTGCATTTTAACTTTAAAGTCATTGAGAAGTTTTAAATTAGTCTTTAATCTTTGTGGGTCTGTGCAGGATAAGAGAGAGAGAGGGGAAAAAAAAACAGAGAGAGGCAGTGACATGGTAATGGGAAACACACTTAATTTTCCCCCCTGTGATTTCCTGAACAGAAACTCTAAGGCAAGTAGGCTGAGTAAATTGCATTAAAGGGACAGAGAAAAATCCAGTGAGCTCCAATACTGGCTGCCACTGGGATAAAGGTTGTGTATACTTTTCTGCACACAAATAGGTTTGCATTTCTCTTGAGTTCACAGAGCTAAATCACCTTCACGCAATGTGTGTGTGTGTGTGTGTGTGTGTGTGTGTGTGTATTTCTCACCTCCATGGTAAATGACAACCAAACAGAAATGATCTCGAAGGAAAAATGCTAGAGTCAAGTGAAACAACACTCCATGGGCACCGTGCCCTTTGACAGGTGGAGTGAGAGCTCCTTGCAGCAGGAGCAATCTGGGTGGGAGCCTCACGGAGCTCTGCTCAGCAACTCTATGCAGGAGTCGGGACTCCAGGCCAGCAAGACACCCCTAGGGACTTTCATTATGGATTTTCTTATACATCATCTAAGGTGATTCTTTCGGTTTGATTTTCCTCCCAGGATGGCTAATAACTGGTTTTAGATTCATCCATACTTTGGCTGTTGTTTTCACTGTGTTAAGATTAAAAGAAGGTCCATTCAAAAGGTTTCTGAGAGGAAGGACTTACAAATGACACATCAGTGAGGCAACTATGTTTCTGACTTTCATGGGGTACCAGGGATAGGACCTCAGACAGCCTCCTACAGTGTAATTACAAGGATGTGAGTTTCACGTGCACATGTGTGTGCTTGCACGTGTGCGCGTGCGCACATACACACACACACAAATTTAGACCTCATCATGTGTGCTGGCCACCATTGTGACTGAGGCAGGAGGATCAGCATTCAAAAGCAATGACAGCCACATCTTCAACTTCATGACAGAAGCAACATGGCAGCTTACCTTCCTTCCCCCAGTATTGATGCGAAGGGGTGTCAGAAAGGGGTCGAAGATCATGTGACTGGTCTCTATGTTGACGGGCGACTGTCGTTTCCCCACAGAGCAGAGGTTCCACGCTGAGTTCACCAATCCCCAGAAAGAAGGAACTAGAAACAAAAACAGTTTGCAAAATTAGGCTGAGGTAGCAATGCCAAAAGAACCTTGGGACAAAGGTGGACAAATCCAAAAGGGCTGCCTCATGTTCCCTGGGTGTTAATCAGATTTATCCAATTTCTATATTTGTGATTTATTAAAGTTATTTTACTTTCATTTTAGGTCCATGGTTCACTTATCCTGTGGCCTCTTTGTCAAATACAGTTAACACATTAATGCCAACGGCATCTTTTAAGCCAAATTTGAAGTACATCAAATATTTAGCAACTTTTGAGTTGATATTCTGCCTTCTTGATTCACAGGAATAACATTAGAATCATTCTTCTGGTATCTGGAAGGTATTTGAAGTTTTTCAAAACAATGTCTTTCAGCATATACAAAGTGTTTTTCTATGAGCTGTCATGATCAACCTGAAGGAATGAATTGTTTTTATGACTCTCAGGGTCTGCTCATAACTTAGCAACTTGGCTTTGTTGAGTTCATCACTGTCATTAACCTAATATTCTAGCAACTGAATAAAATACTCATTGGGTAGGTAGAAAAATGGCATTGATTCCTGTGTGTGAATATCTGAAGAGGACCTTCTAGTCATTGTCAATTCTCCATGAAAACATCTAATAACATTCGGTTTATTGGCAATTCCCAGACCCATTTTCCACTTTACACAAAGTGAACACTGCAAAGTGGAAGAGAGCAAACCTACAGGTTCCATGTCAGTGAAAATTAGAAATCATACATTTGGCCTTTTCCTGTCCCTGTTTGGCTTTTCCACTGAGGTCTTGGGTACAGGTGTCCTCCCTATTCCCTGGAGATAATATGGCTATTAATTTTTTCACCAACCCACAATGGACATAGTGAGCTCCGATCTCATGTTCTACCCTGGATTGGGACGAAATGTGAGGAAGGCAGATTATCGTAAGACAAAACAGCCTTAGTACAGAGAGGTTAAGGTAAGTGGGCTATACAAGCACAGGTGAGGAACATCTAAGTCTGCCACGGTGTTGTAGAGTCAGACAGCAGTTCCCAGAGAAGAGGAACATGACAAGCGATTCTCTACAGAGACCTTCTTTCGCAGGAACTTACACATAATGCAGAGGCCATCCTTGCCCATGAATCAGATGGAGTAAACTGAGGCAAGAAAGCAATTTCACAATAGTTGACGAAGATATTGCACTCTGTAAGATGCAGGAAACTTGGGGAATTGGGCTGACAGTGCATCTGTTCCTATCTAGATGCAAAACTCTATGATTCTCCCATTTGTTACATACAACGGTTAGGCAGGAGTAGGAGAACTACATGCATATTCCATAGATTTCTAAACAAACATTTCAGTGTCAAAATAAAAGGGAACTCACTGTGATAAACACCGAACTTGGTTTAACCCAAAAGATTCCACTCCCTTTCGCTCAAAAACCCCAAATTAGATTTCTAGCTATTCTGTTATTCAAAATGGCAGCAATGGCCAGATTTACATGAAGTGAAAGTGGGAGGGAGAAGAAAAACAGAGAGACACTTGTTAATGTCTGCATGCTTCCCTGTTACTCTTTCGCTTTTTCTTGTGTGAATCATTGCAAGTCACTTAACCTTAGATTTACGTCCCAGAGAAATTGTATCATCTCAGAAATTCTCACTCTAAGAATGTTGTTTTAACAGCGGCTGGTGTGAATGTGGGAAGAAAAGTACTCTCCTTCCCTGGTGGAGTGCAGTTTAACACAACCACTACGGAAGTTAGTACGGAGAGTGCTTGGAGAACTGCAAATAAACCTGCCATATGACCCAGCTACCCCATTTCTAGGAACACATACAAAGCCAATGAAATCTGCATGTAAGAAAGGGTTCTCTATATTTGCAGCAGCACAATCTACAATAGCAAAGATATGGAAACAACCCAGTTGCCTGTCCAAAGAGGAGTGAATAAAAAAACTGTTGTACATCTACTCCAAGGAATAATACTCAGCCATTAAAAAGAATGAAATCTATTATTTGCAACCAAATGGTCCCAACTAGAGATCATTATGTTCGGCGAAATAAGTGAATCCCAGAAGGACAAATACCATATATTCTCTCTGGTATAAGGCAAAATTTATGCAAATTATAAGATCGATAACACTGTCAATACTTTTTTAAAATATTTATTTATTTTTATTGCAAAGTCACATATATACAGAGAGGAGGAGAGACAGAGAAATATCTTCTATCCGATGATTCACTCCCCAAGTGACCACAAAGGCAGATGCTGTGCTGATCCGAAGCCAGGAGCCCTAATCCTCTTGCGGGTCTCCCACGTGGGTGCAGGGTCCCAAGGCTTTGGGCTGTCCTTGACTGCTTTCCCAAGCCACAAGCAGGGAGCTGGATGGAAAGCGGGGCAGCCAGGATTAGAACTTGCATCTATAAGGGATCCCGATTCGTTCAAGGGGAGGACTTTAGCTGCTAGGCGAAAGTGCTGGGCCCTTCAATATGTTTTATGCTGCAACTCCTGGGTTTTGATATTTTCATTTTTATTTTAATTTATTCAAAATAGTTTTTCTCTTATTAAATTCTTCACCAAGTCATAGATCATACAGTAGCATCATTTTCTCCAAGAAGACTTTTTGTTTCTTTTTCATTTCTTCATTGACACATTGGTTATTCAGCAGCATGTTATTTAATTCCATGGTGTTGTAAAATTTTTTTTTTAACTTCATTCCTGTTGTTGATATTGTTTTATGGCTTTTCATTTAAGGGGATGTATAGTAGCTGTGTAGTAGACACTATCATATCCAGATGTGATGATGCAATACAGTATGCTTCTCTACTTTCAAAACAAAGATCAACTTCTAATGAAACAGTTAAATTTTCATATTTTTCTTTGACAATGATATCCATGTGAATGTATGTAAATTCTGTATCACTGGGCCCCAGCTGGCCACTATGTGCCTGTCGTAGGCTGAAGAATAGCCTAGCTCTTCAAGATATTGGCATTCTAACTTCAGAACCTGCAGGTATGTACCTTACATATTAGCAGCTCACTGCTGATGTAGATAATTTGATGATCTTGCTTGGAGAGATTATTCTAGATTATCCAAAGTTTCCATTGTAATGATAACATTTCAAAGAGGGAAATAGGAGAGTGAGAAACACAGAGAAAAGTTGTAAGGGTAGAAATAGGTGCCAGGGAGAATAAATAGTAACCTTTTGCTGTCCTGAAGATGGAAAGAGGACACAAACCAACAAATGCAGGTATCTCCTAGTATTAAGACAGGCAGGGCAGTAAGTTCTCTAAAAAGAATGCATAGTTGCTCACACCTTGATTTTCAATCAATTTGGACTTCTAGTTCCCAGATCTGTTCTATAATTTATTATAGAATAATTTATTACAGCAGTAATAGGAGACCAATCCATCCTGTTTTACCTCTGAAACCTATTAAGACAAAATTACTGAATTTTTTTTGAAAACGAAGACCTTTCTGGTGTCTACTGGAGTAAGGGAGTGCTTTGCTGGATGGCCCTCCCACGAAAAACAGTAGTTATAGCTAGTGTATGTTGCATTTCAAACACTTCCATGGAAGTCATTAACAAAAATAATTCCAACTACATGAATGGATTGTCAAACTGATACTATGTGCAACATCGGTGGGCAGATACTCCTGTGTCTTACCAAGAAACTTCATGTCCAGTGAAATTCCCTCCACAAACACACACAGTGGAAACTTTACACAAACACCTGCCTTCCCTTTTACTGGGCAAGGACTTCTCTATGAAAAACAATTTTGGGGTTTTATATCCCCACTTCACTATCAAGGTTACCTGCTCGGCCAACTGAAGGAAATCAAGGACTCTTCCTGCTCAACTGGTGTGTGTCTGGCTCCATTACCGAAGGGAAATCCATACTAGCTCCTCACTAGGTTGCTGATTTTAAAGCAACCACAAATTAATTGCCTCTCAGAAATACAGGGCATTTTAGAGGTCATCTGGTCTAAATGCATGCATAAAATTAAGGGCAAAGAGGCAGAAGACAGAGCACTCGAAACTGGGCACAGCTAGCTGGAGGCAAAGAGGGCTGAGTCAAGAACAGAATTCTCACCTCAAGATGTGCAGTGCCTCAGAACCTCCTGTGGTCTGAACTCCTCCAGCAGGTGTAACCTAAGAGCAGATGGTTGCCGAAGAACCTCAGAGTAAATTGTTCCCATGACCCTTGCTGCCACTGCTATGCTACCTTTTACTACCATTTCCTCTTTGGTAAATCAAGATTAACATTAGTGTGAATTTTCCAGAGCACTAAAATTCAAGTGCAAAGGTTCAGCTCAAGCTTTTGAGAATATTCTAACTAAAACTAGGGTTTCAAAAGAATCGTGCAACTATAGGATGAGACAGAATGAGCTAGATTATAAAAAAAAATTAAAGATTATAGTTCAAGTGAGGAAGGGTATGTTTGAGTCCCATTTGCAGAATCCCAAGGAAACTCCAAGGACAAAATCATTCATGCAGCTGGAATCGGGGAGGGTTTAGACCAGATAAAAGAAGAAGTGCATTGCTGCTAAAAGTAGTGTAAAGTGGTGGAGCAATAGTTAAGGTGTCCAAAGAAGGCCAGGAAGGTCAAGTGCCCAATGAACCGGAAATAGGTCTGCAATGGTAGTACAGCCCAGATTCTAGGGAAGTGCTTTAGGATGAAGGTAAAGAAAACAGACATATGGTGTGCCTGTACTTACTGAGGCGTGGGCAGGAGTAAGGGCTGCTTTGATGCTGAGAGCAAGGATGGAAACGGCTTCAGGATTTACTAAGACACATCCTCCCTCTGGGTTTGGGCGGAACTCTCAGTCATCCCCAAAGTTCTTCTCCTTGAGCATCTTTTGCAATGCTGTCTTCAGTCTGACAGACATTAAGCAGCACCTTTAGAAGGTGGATGGGGTTAGAGGACACTGCTTCTATTTCTGTTGTTGAAATTCTGCAATTTGATTATTATTATTTTTATTCGTTTATTCTCCTGTGAAACCGTGATCTTTTTACTTGGTTA